AAAAAACTGAAAAAAGTAAAAGGGGTTTAATTTAATTTGAGAGAGAAAATAAAATAAAGTCTTGATATATATATTTTTTTTCTGATCTCGAGGTTTCTTTCTCTCTCATGTGTACCCTTCAATCATAAAGCAATCGATTACAAAATGATTTACTCTCTCATATATCCATCCATCCATCCGTCTTTTCTGCTCTGCCAAAAAAAAAAGGTGCTGTGCCCCTTTCTCTGCCCTTTGCATTAATTACACCCTTGGGAGAATGGGCCATGCAGCGTTATTAGGGAGGGGCGTAGGGTCAGTCAGTCATCCCTGTCGCACTCATATGTCAACTTCTAATGGGTACAACATTGTTCCCAGCGTCAACGTATTGTACCCCTCTTTATGTATACTCCCCGGACTGTTCCCTATTTTCCCATTCTTCTCCCTCTCTTTTTTTACCACGCCTTTGCCTTTTTTTTTCTCTCACCGTGAGCATTGCGTGATTAGCCAGGCAATGAGTGATTTGGGTCTATAATATTTGTGTTTGGTTCTAGAGAATTGTGCAAGAAGACAAAAATATTGGTGCAGACTCTACTTCTTGTCATCAATCTGAGATTAAAGTTTTATTTATCTATTTTAATATGCCCCATTGACCAATTCTCAAAGGTCCTTAGGAGTTAGGAAATGGGGTTCACCCCTTTTTTACGGCTTGCCAAGGGGTTTCCTCTTTTAGTTCTAGGTTTTGTTTTTGTAAGTTTCCCATGTATTCAAAAATCTAAATTATAGCTCGAATTTGTGAATTTGGAACATAAAGTTATTTTAATTAGAAATCACCATAAATAAGATTAAAACATTGAGAAAAGTATCGAAATAGGACTTTCATGTTTTTTCCGCGAAATAGGACTTCACGTTGTGGTAATGTGGTTATAATGTGGCATTGTACATGTGCACGTTACTACACTTTTTGGTAATGTAAATGAATTTTAAGTCCTATTTCGGGAATAAAACATGGAAGTCTTATTTTGGTATCTTTTCAATGTTTTAGTCCTACTTCAGTCTTTCTCCCTTTTCTATATTCTAAAAAGGTGTGAGCTTTGTTTGTTCAAAAGACCAAATTGTAATTGACAAGAGAGAAAATATCCTTATAGCTTATACGTACTTTTACACAATAAATCGATGTCTTTACTAAATGTATAAATTCAAGTTTTACATACTAATGTCTTGTTTGGTAACATCGTTTTCGATTAGCGTTAGCATTTTAGATAAAAACTTAATGGTATAAATTAATTCTGAAAATGTTAACACTGATGTCAAACGGGGCTTAACTTGATAGATGATACATAGATAGATAGATTATGAATTCGAATAACAAACAAATAAATCTTAGTGACCCTTTTGCACCGGGTGGACATTGGTTTATGGCCTATTGCGGATAGTGTTAGAGATTAGCGTTAGCGTTTTTGATAATATTTTGACGGTGCGGATTATTTTGAAAGCGTTAACGCTAAACACTGCCTGTAGATAACATTTTTAAAACGGTAAGGCTATTTCCAAACAGGCCCTTAACATTTCTATGATTTATGGTGTATTTGGATGGTGAGAAAGAGGAGGGAATGCAAATGCAAGGAAAACCCACAAAATGATATGGAGTGAAAATGAAGACGGTGAGAAAATTTAAGTATGGGTTCTACATAAAAAAAATTCTCACCTACATTGGTAAATAAATTGTACGGGCTCTTGAGCTCCTTCTCCCACCACTAATTTTCTATTTTTCCATCTTTTCAATCTCTTTCCTCACCATTTTGTTTCTATTTGGTAGAATGTCCAAAGTAGAACTAAAACATTAAAAATGTATTAAAATAAGAATTTTTTGTTTTTATTACCAAAATAGGACTTAAAATCCATTAACATTAACAAACATGATCATGTATATTACCAAAAAGTATAGTATGTGCACATGTACAGTATCACATTATCACAGTGCGGAATCTTATTTCGTGGAAAAAACCATAAAAGTCCTATTTTGGTACTTTTCTCTATGTTTTAGTCCTATTAAGGGTGATTTTATTTCTATTTTCAATCAATCCAAACACTAACTTTTTTTCTTTTCATTTTCTCACCTATTTCTTTTTTATCAATTTTTTTCTTTCAATTTCTTTCTTCTCATTTTATCATTCCATCCAAACAAGGCTGGGGTGAGTTTTTTTAAGATAGTATCAATATATTGCTAAGGTAGAGCCCACAGATTTGAAAATCTCCCTATTATCGTACTTTTAATTAACACTTTCTCCCTTCCTTACAATATTTTTTCTTTTGACTTTTAGAGCTTGTTCTTTAGGATTGGAAAAAAGAGATAGATGTTGGAAAAACTAGAAGAAACTAGAAAGAAATGGAAGAAACTGGAAGAACTGGAAGAAACTAGAAGAAATTAGAAGGAACTGGAAGAAACTAGAAAAAATTGGAAAATCTAAAAAAATTTACAAAAATTTTTTGTGTATTTTTATATTGTTCTCATTCTTGTTATAAATAATTAATGCTATTATTATTATTGTTGTTGTTGTTGTTGTCATCACGTTATCTTAATGCATGCTTTTAAGATAAAAATATTGTTATTTTTCATACAAAAAAATTACTTTTGCAAAAAAATAATTAATTAGTATATAAAAGTATTATAAATATTAAAATGTTAGATATTTAAAAGTTATTGTGGCTATGCTGCACATCACTTTATTTATGCAATATTTATCATAAAATAATATATTTGTAATTATACTTTATGTATAACAAGATATTGTTTTAATGTCAGACATGTCACATAATATAATCAAACCTATTTTTTCTTTAATGATTGATTTTTTTCATTATAACCCTACTTTTGGAATAAAGACATAGAACTTTTTTTTACATTTTTTATGTTTTACTTCTACCGAGGCAGCAAACAATGAAAGATAGGCCCAAT